ATGCAAGGATGACTTCCTTAAAAGCCTCCTTCACACAAATTGCCACCAAGAATTTTTGGACAAGTGTTTCCTGCTTATCTGTGTAAGGAAAACTGCCTTCCTGGTTCCAGCATGAAAAAGCAGGAGGGATACTCCTGTACTCTTTACCACTACACCACACCAACTCTCAACATTTGCTGCGGCCTTCCAGGTCAAGAAGTTGCCTGACAGCTTCAATGAGGCCAGATTCATCACCTTCAGCATGCTGATCTTCTGCAGTGTGTGGGTGTCCTTTGTTCCAACATATCTCAGCACAAGAGGAAAGTACTTGGTGGCCATGGAGATCTTCTCCATCTTCACCTCCAGTGCTGGCTTATTGTGTTGCATATTCTTCCCCAAATGCTACATCATTGTAGCATTTGAACACTAGAGTGCAGTTGATGGGAAGAAAGAATTAGAGGAGCTCTTCATTTCACTCATTTTCTTTGTATCCTGCATAAAAGCATAAACATGAGATGAATGAATTTTTACTGAAGAAGTCAGAATATTCACGTTATTATAGCTCATCGAGTCCAAAAATTCTGTTGGAAATCGTGCCAAATTTTGAACTTGTTTATACAAGTTTCAGCTTGCACATTTGCAAGACATCACACTAGCCATTCCTTCATGACCAACCAGGATTTGAATCAATGAAGGTCCAAGCAAAGGCCAGGAAAAAGGCAGCACCCCAATCTGCTCCAATAACTCCTAGAGCTAGGAGGGATCTGAGATCTGTTGTGGCCCTCAAACAAGAAACCCTGTGTGAATATTCAATCTGCACATGACACAACGCCCCACCATGTCTTGCCATCTAAAGGGGGTTGTCATGCCGTAAAGGGGGCTGTCATGATGTACTTTGGTTCCATTTCTGCATAGATGGTCATGTAACCAGGCCTGGACGAGGCCTGGACTGTGACCAGACTTGCTATTGTCCACACCACAGCCATATTGAATTTCTTGTTCCAGTAGAGAGGGGATCCTGGATCATCCTGAGGAAGCAGGATGAACTCTGTATACCCAATGGCTGATGAGCCCTCAGTGGATGATAGGATAGTATAGAATTAAACATTAAAAGTACCCAAAAGTACAGTACACCACACCATCTCTCAAAGTACACTTTGTTTCAGTAGAACAGTTACTGAAGTTGAACCATGAAGTCTGAAATCTTTGCTGAACGGTTTCCCTCTCATAGAATTATCATATGTTATACATTATTATTATAAAATTGCTATAATTCAACTGCTCAAGCAGCTTACCAGGGGAGGAAAGGACATCAAGGAAGCCTGCAATATTTATATGTCTCCCATGGGGCCTTGAAGTGCTGAGATTTAGGTGATGACAAAGGCCAAGTTTTGCCAGTTTTATGACCCTCACATTTTTACTAGACACTTCTAGCTTTAGATGAGGATTCTTAATTTGATTGTGAAGCAAGATGTTGATGCTCTCTTGTGGGCAGCAAGACCTGTCTCCTTGTCCGTCTTCACACCCAGAGTACTCTACAAAACACCTTGTTCAAGTCACACTAATCAAGTTGTTGATGTAGGACAAGATGAAGAAGGCTCCATGTGTGGGGACATTGCGCCAAAAGAATGATGCTGCTTTTTCAACTGCTGCTGTTTCCAATTGTGGTTCAGAAAGTGTATACTGTGGAATGCACTGGAAATGAACCTGAACATATTCCACATGATTGGTACGAGCCAGGAGATTTCCTCATTGGGGGGATGGCATCTTTTATAAATTACTGTCCCCGCAGCATCAGGTTCATCAAACACCCTTCTAAGGAGAAGTTTAACAAACCATGGTAAGACATTTTTCATCCAAGGTCAGCATGAACTTCCCTTCAGCTATATTGAGTGGCTCTTTATATTTATATAATTGCCTGCAAATATGCATCATTTCTGGAAAAGAGTGGCTTTTCAACTTTTAAAAATACAAGTCAGCTGTAAAAACACAGGTCAGTCAGAATCTCTGCCTCTTTTCTTGAGGGTGCAATAATGTACACAAATGTAAAATCTGTTTAAAAGGCACAATGTTGTTCCTCATTCCAAAAGGATCTATTTAGCCCCTAACTTTGCTGGTTTGACTCTACTCATGCACAAGCTGCTGAATATTTCAGTGCTAGCTAAAATAGACCAGAAATATGATAACATGATTTTGTTCCCTCGTTGCCTTTTCTCTGAAACCACATGTGACTTCTGTCTTTGCAGGGTGATGACTAAGTTCTACCAACACATTCTGGCTTTTGTATTTGCCATTGACAAGGTCAATGAGGACCCCAGCATCTTGCCCAACATCACCCTCGGCTTCCACATTCGGGAAAGCTACACTGATGCAAGGATGACCTATCGCACCACTTTAGATTTGCTTTTCAACTCAAATAAGTTTGTGCCTAATTATCTGTGTGGCATTGAAAAAAATGTTGTAGGTGTGATTGGTGCACTGAGCTTTGAAACCTCCTCCTGCATGGCAGACATCCTAGGACTTTACAAGATTCCACAGGTAGGATCTGCACATGAGCCAGCATGGCAAAAGGGACAGAAGGCTGGACTGGATCTTAGAAGATCCACTTTCTTGTCCCCACTAGGAGATGACTAGTGATATCCTTTAAGGAGTGAAGAGGTTGCCAGATACTCCTCTTCTCTTTTTGGAATATCAGCCGTCCCTCCATCTTCTTTTCTTTTTTCCAAGCTATCATGCGGCTTCTTCAAACCTATCCATGACCTGGACAATCTCCATTCCTTTTAACACATGGTCCCAAATGGAGCCCTTCAGTACCAAGAACTTGTTCACTTCTCCATTTTCATAGCTGAAGTAGTCTGGTTAGCTGTTGTGAAACTCCTCTTGTTCTACATTGATCCAACACTGGACACTTAATACACTTATTAGAGGATTTTTACAATTGAGTCATTAATAAGTTGGAGCCACTTCTTCAGGATGTCTGTTAAAAAAAAACAGTAGGCATAACTCCTTAAGAAGCCTAGTTAAAATAGGAAGACATTTCCCTTAAAATCTGAAGAGTTGAAAGGACAACAGTGTCCATCTTAAGCACTTCTTAAACTTCTACCTATGCCAATGCTATCAGTTTTTTTCTCCCTGTTGTAGTCCAGCTGCTCTCCATCATCCATTTCAAATGTCAAATGAATTATTTGAATACTTTGTTAAATCATTGTTGATACAATAGGATGTTATAGCAGCTGAAGCTTACATTTAGCACATCTTGTTTTGGGACCAAGGAGGCTGACATATACTTCTGTTCTCATTCTGGAATCTCAGCCTTCCCCTTCTTCCTTCCTTTTCCCAAGCTTTCATATGGCTCATTCAAACCCATGCATGAACTGAACAATCAATACTCCTTTTACCGCATGGTCCCAAATGAAGCCCTTCAGTACCAAGGACTGGTCCAGTTACTTCTCCATTTTCAGTGGATATGGATTGGGCTCATGGCTACAGATGATGATGGTGGAGACCAGTTCTTGAGAACCATGGAGCCATTGCTTTTGAAGAACAGGATCTGTTCAAATTTCACATTAAGGTTTCAAAAAGCATTGCATATAAATGATGCCATACAAGAAATGATTCAAGCTTTATTGCATAATGTGGAAGATGTAATGAGGAGCAAAGCCAATGCCATTGTAATCCATGGAGAAGCTCCAGCCATTACATCATTGGAAATGCTTTTATTTGCAAGCACATTGGTCCAGCAAATATTTCCTCAGTATAAGGGGAGGTTTGCCTCAGCAAGAGTGTGGATAACAACAGCACAAATTGATTTCTATGTAAATCGTTTAGTAATTCATAGTGGATTTGACATGCAAATGCTCCATGGTGCCCTCTCCTTTACCATTCCTACCAAGGAACCTGAAGGTTTTCAGGAATTCCTTCAGCTTGTCCATCCTTCCTGGGACAATGAAGATGGCTTTGTTAATGATTTTTGGGAATATGCATTTGCTTGCTCATCTTCACATGTCATTTTCAGATTCCGAGGAGGATGTGCAGGAAACGAGAGGCTGGACATCCTTCCTCAGTCTATTTTTGAATTGAGCATGACTGGCCACAGCTACAGTGTTTACAATGCTGTCAATGCTATTGCTCATGCCTTACACAACTTGTACTCACCTCCACCAAAACACAGAAGAATAGCGAGTGGAAGAAGACAGACTTCTCAGTGTGTTCGTTCCTGGCAGGTAATTTTGGTGACTAGCAAAAGTCAATGGTCATCACTTATAGATTATGAAATGGTGTGCATTTTTAATTATTATTGTACCATGCAAAACGAACCAAACCAATCCATAACAATGAAACAAAAATGGAAATGAAATGGAAATAAAAGTTTATGCATTTTTAACGGTCCTTAGAAAGGGAAAATAGCCATAGCAGGTGATTCAGTTATACAGGTAAAAGAAAAATGCTGTTCAAATTAGTTATGAGTATAAGAAGAGAAATTATGAAATGTATTTGCAACTTTATCTTTGCTTCATGATTTTTTTTTCCTTATAAAATATGAGCAGGTAGAGTTAAATGGCGAAGGCAGTCAAGTCAGGGACATTTGAAAGGATGAGTAGAAAAGAAGAGCAAAGGAAGGCCAAAAACGAGCTGCATGTACTCCATTAGGGAAGCCATAGTCTTGAATTTAGAACAGGTGAAAAGAGTGTTGTGGATAGGACATTCTTGAGTGCTTTGACTTATAGGATTGTCATAAGTCAGAGACAACTTGATGGCAATTAACAACATACACTTCAACAAAGGCATCCCAAACATACATATTCATTCATTTCTTAAATTGCAGCTAAAACCACCTGTTCAAAAATCAAATGGTTTTCAAACCACTCTTCCACTGAGTTACTATAAGTGACCATTTATCCACTTGATCTTAAAAAAGAAACAAGGGTATGTCTTTAAACATTCAAGAATCTCCCATTAAAGGACAATTATGTTATTCACAGGGGTCTCTTCCCCTACAACCATATCACAGAGAACCTAAAATCAGAATTGTGTCATGTTAATACAATTCTGGGCTGGAAGGTCTTATCTTCACTGGGATTCCCTGTTCAAAGATAGTTGTTGAATATGTTCCTCTGAAGCCATTCTATTGCCATTTTCTACACATTATCATGGTTACATTACATTCCATCACCGTCACGTCTGAATCTGGAGCTCTCTGGATGGTTCACAGCATATACGTCCCTGAATTGCTCATCTTCTCAATTATTGTTCCCTTCCTCGACAAATGTGAATGGATTGAGAAGAAAAGAGAAGTCAGAGAAACAAGGAAAAGAAATTCAGGCAGGCAGATTTTCTTTCTTCTTTCTCAGTTTCTTTCCTAAAGAGGCCATTTGGGTTTTTCCATCAAAGGCAAAGATTCAAAAAGCATTTAACAAGATCATTAAAATGTATTAAAAGTAATTGATTTTATGTTGTTACCAACCCTTGATCGCATCAGGTAGGATTTCTATGGGACCTGAGTATAAAGAGGGGTATTATCCAAGCCAAAAGTATCCGATTGCCATACAAAACCACTTTTTACACCTTCCCCCTTGAAAACTGTGGCAGAAGCACTTTCGTACTACCTAGTTGGTGAGGAAACAGGTGGAAATACATAATATTCATCCAGGCAGGACAGTTGGGAAAAAGGAAAAAACTGAGGACCATTCAGATAATAGTGAAATCTGAAAATGGTACACATGAACACTCACATGTTGCTTCCCATTCCTAGATCAAGAGAATTCACAACTCAAATCACAACTTTTGATTTCTGTACAATGATTTCAGTACAATATTCTGCATTTTAAAAAGAGAAGCGTCCAAAAACTCCATGACTCTTCCAAGATACGAAATCTGGCTGGAGAATATTAGGAGCTGTCAGCAGTTTTCTTTGAAAAACTAATAGAATTGCACTTGAAGTGTGACAAAATTGGATCAAACCAATATGTATGTAGACATGCTTGTTTTTGGAAGATCCTCTCAGTAGTGCTCAGGACAATGCTGTTAATCATGGGATTTTTGCATTCATTGATTCATATATTTAAGCTACTTAAACAATGTGAATTAGAATATTATAACACTTAATATACCATATTATCTTCTTTGATTCTTGTTTAGCTGCACTCATTTATTCAGAAGATCTCATTCAACAACAGTGCAGGAGAGGAAATTATGTTTAACAAACATGGAGAGTTCAAAGGAGGCTTTGATATAACCAACTTGATAACCTTCCCTAATCAGTCCTATGTCAGGGTCAAAGTGGGAAGGGTGGACCATGATGTTCCTCTACGCAAAGGATTCACCATTCATGAGGACAAAATTCATTGGCACAGACAATTGGAGCAGGTGTGGAAACAACCAATAGTGTTTCTTGCACAAGTCATCCTTCAGCTGATATTCAAGGGTAAAACTGTCTTGGAAAAGAAGACACATGGTGTTTAAAAATTAACATAGTCCCTATATTACATTTCTGAGAATATAAGATACAGTGGATTCCCAGATCCAAGTCAAAGGTTCTATATGGCATGTAGGGACTGAATCTTTGGTAGCTGCATCAGCTGCCTTCCAATGTGGCACGACTGTGGAACACTGTGCCCAGATGTCCTGGAGTCCCTGGTCATCATGGGAAATGCTGCCACTAGTGCTGCTGTTTCCAGTTTTCTCTGCCTTTCTAATTGCTGCTGAGTTGTGGTAGGAATCAGCTGGCTGGCAGAGATGCAGCTATCTTGCATTGCAGCCCTCTGGGAGCTTCAGTGGTCAGGGATGGCCCAGCCAGTCTGCTACTTCAGATACCTGGCTTCAGCTCTGATGCTCCTGAGTGGTACTTCTGGTTCACAAATGCAATGCCAAAGGGCTCTCCAGTTTGGCACCTCTTTGGTGCCCACTTAGTGTCCTTTGGGTACAGGAGAAATTGTGTTTGTGAGAGATAGAGGGGGAGAGGGGGAAAGGGGGAGGGAGACAGGGGGAGAGGAGGGCTTTTTTTTTTTTTTATGAACTAAGTTAGATAGATTTGGACATTTTAAGGAAGTAGGGATGGATACCAGAGGTAGGAAAATGAAAAAATGATGGAAGCCATTTGATGGGGAGGAAAATAAGGAGGAAAGTTGTTGGTCAGGAAGGAAACGTATTGGAAGGGAGGGCATTGTAGAATGTAAGTAGAAAGAAGAGAGGGATAATAGTAAGGAAAGGTTTACAAGGGATAGGAAGTAGCAGGCTGTAGAAATGTTAAATTTCAAAGGAAAGGGATTGGTAGTTAAAGAAGGGTTCCGGTTCAGGTTCTCCTTCCCTCTCCCTCTCTCCAAGGTCGCCCTTGAGGCATATGTCTTGAATGTTTGTACTGGGAGTTGAGGTTTCAAGACAGACTAGGGATCCAGCTGGTGTTCCACCCTACTTGCTACAAAGCAGCTTCCCTGCCTGCATTGAAGGAGACTGTCTTAGACCTGGTGTTGACGACCCCCAGGATGTTGGCTCTGGGGGACTTCAAACTTCATGCCAGGGCTGTTCCATCCAGGGCAGCTTAGGACTTCATGGCAGTCATGACAAACATCTAAACATGTTACTGGCCAAACACATGAAAGGAGTTGCACTCGAAACCTCTTTTCCTCAATGGGACAGGAGGATAGTGGCCCAAACGTGGAGGTTTTACTTTTATCCCATTGTCATGGTCAGATGACTTCGTGGTCAGGTTTAGACTTCTGCCACCTTTCTCCCTCTGCAAGGTTGAGGTGCTGAGTAAAATGGTCCATCCCCAGAATCTAATGGATCTGGTAGGTTTCAGAGGGCTCTGGAGATCTATCTGGATGATATCGTTGGTGCTCCTGTCAAAGCCCACCTTGCAGTAGGGAATAAGAAGGTGCCCAGGTGGTTGACATTATCACACATAAGCACTCTCTCCCCTCTTGCCAAGGTCCATCATCCCCTTAATATACACCACAGCATAGAGCAATGAAGTGAGAGGTAAGATAGTGAGAGTGCCGGTGGAGGAAAACTTGTGATGACTCTAATTGAGCACAGCTTAGAGCTGTTTACTGATCCTATTCCATAGCTATGAAGAACATGACAAATTTTGTGACCTCCTTTGGGTATTCACAATGCCATTCATTTGCACTTTTCCGAGGGATTCAAGGACTTTTACCATCAGGCCAATCACTAGAAACTGGCAGCTGTATAGTGCAGCTAAAAAACAATGTATTCTGACTTAGGTGGACTAGTGGCTGACAGAGGACAGCAAACACTGCCTATTATATTCATTGAAAAACTGGTGCAAGAACACTGAATAGTGCAAGGGGCAATGCTGAGCTGGTTGTGCAACTGATCAAACCAAAGATAGCAGTTCTCATCTTCACATCTTCAAAAACGATTTAGGATGCTCCCCATGCTTCATGCGCAGTGAGAAATTGAGTATTCAATATCATTTGACTCTCTGGTCACAAAGACGTCCTTGATGTGCAATGACTTCCTCAAATGCCTTCTTCACAAAACTTTCCTCCAATATTTTCCAACAGGTGCCTCCTCCTTCTGTGTGTAATGAAAAATGCCTTCCTGGTTCCAGCAAGAAAAAGCAGGAGGGGAAGCCATTTTGCTGCTATGACTGTGCTCCATGTCCAGTTGGGAAGTTTTCAAATCAGAAAGGTAGGGCACCAATTAAAAGAAAAGTGTGTTTCAGCAAAACAGAAGAAACTAATTGAAAAGATCTCTTCACAACACCTATCCAGTCCTTGCTTCCTTGCTTGAGTACTTTCAGTCAACAAATACAGAGGAAAGAAAGCAAAATCCCAATACGAAAATATAAATTAGTATTTCCTCCATTTGGAAGGAAAGCAAAAGTGGAAGTTGCTCCAAAACACCAGTTTCAGTGTCATGAGAGGAAGGACAAAGAATAAAGTTGATTCTGCAGGAATTGAGAAAAATAATCACAACCATTAATCAACCCCCCAGATTTTGCACCATCTGCTAGAAGGCTTCTATCAGGGCAGGGCATGATGCATGGAGAAGAGGGCAAAGGTTAAACAAACATCTATTTTGCAAAGAAAGCAAAACTGGTATTTTTTCGAAAAAGTATTATGCATACTCAAACAATTCCATGATAGCAGAAAATAGGTCACATGGAGTTCTGGAGAGGCTGTCCTTAAATCTAAGGGATGTGCGGAGCTACTCTTCACCAATGTTTCCATGTTTCTATTTCAGATATGGAAACCTGTGTCCATTGCTCAGGCCATCAATATCCAAACAAATTCAAGAATCAATGCATTCCAAAGAAACCAAACTTCTTAGCTTTTGAAGACAGCTTGTCCATCATTTCCACTTCTTCTGTTCTTTTATTGTCTCTGATCACCATGCTGGTCCTAGGACTCTTTATCTGGCAGAGGGACACTGCCATTGTCAAGGCGAACAACAAAACCCTCACCTACATTCTCCTCATCTGCCTTCTCTTCTGTTTCCTCTGTCCTTTCCTCTTTATGGGAAGACCCAATAGGGTGTCCTGTCTTCTTCGACAAACTGCTTTTGGTGTGGTCTTTTCTGTGTGCCTCTCCACAATCCTGGCAAAAACCATTTCGGTGGTTCTGGCCTTCATGGCAACCAAACCAGGATCCCAGATGAGAAAGTGGGTGGGAAAAAGACTGGCCTATGCCATTGTCTTCTCCTGCTCCAATATTCAAGCAGGCATCTGTGCTCTGTGGCTGGCAAATTCTCCCCCATTCCCAGATTCAGACATGCACTCCATGTCTACTGAAATCATCCTGCTATGCAATGAGGGTTCCATCCTCATGTTCTATTGTGTCTTGGGATACATGGGTTTCCTGGCTGCTGTCAGTTTTACAGTGGCCTTCCTGGCCAGGAAGTTGCCAGACAGCTTCAATGAGGCCAAGTTCATCACCTTCAGCATGCTGGTCTTCTGCAGTGTGTGGTTGTCCTTTGTCCCAACATACCTCAGCACCCAAGGAAAGTACATGGTGGCTGTGGAGATCTTCTCCATGTTGACCTCCAGTGCTGGCTTACTGTGCTGCATCTTTTTCCCTAAATGCTACATCATTGTTTTCAGATCAGACATGAACAACAGGGAGCAGTTAATGAGAAGAAAGAAGTAAACATTAGAGAAACTCATTTTCTCTCTGATCTTCTCTGCGTTCTGCACAAAAGCATAAAATTGGGATGAAGGAATTCTGACTAAAATGACTAATCAGATTTTCTGCATCTTGGCTTCCAGTGCTGGTTTATTGTGCTGCCTCTTTTCCCCCAAAAGCTACATTATTGTGCTGAGACCTGAGCTGAACAACAGAAGTAGATCATTCAATAACAATATAGATAATGGGGCTGTCCATTGTTGCTCCAATCATCTTTATAACCTCTAAAAGGAGATAAAGGATAGAAAATTGAAACATGCAACCTCATAAGATTTTAGTTAGACATCTTACTTTATCTAAACATTCTCCTCACTTATGAAAATACACTGTATCTCACTGATCAATTAGTTCTGCAATTCTATTAGGAAAGAATATAGTCTGTATTTTTTGTTTGTTTGCATCATACCTGTTCAGAGGGATATACTGAATATTATTCAACTATTTTCTATGTCTGAGGAATAAATGCTTCTCTGGGAAGGGATGATTTGAGGTATTAGAGTAATTGAAGAACAGCTGGTCACATTTCTAAGAACTCAAGCTATTTTCAGTCTGGTTGAGTTCTCCCAAAAACTAGCACTTGTTTATTTCTTGATCCAAAGGGAATTCAACTGTGAAGCTATTCTGTACAGTATAGCAAATAATAAAAATGAGCAGCCATAATGTTAGTAGCATTGATCAGTTATTAACCTAATCTAATCTTACTTTTTCAGAAAAATATTAATTGAAAATACATAACACTTACTTAGAAATTTTAATATTTAATTATTTTCTATTAATTATATTTATCCTGGATCACTGATTGTCCTGGTGAAGGGGCTTGCATAGCTCAATGAACATATGAGCTATGCTGTTCAGGGTCACCCAAGATGGACAGGTCATAGCAGAGAGCTCTGACAAAACGTGATCCACTGGAGAAGGAAATGGCAAACCACTCCTGTATCTTTGCCATGAAAACCCCATGGACAGTACCAAAAGGCAAAAAGATATGATGCTGGAAGATCTGCCCTTCAGGTCAGAAGGTGTCCAATATGCTACTAGGGAAGTACAGAGGGCTAGTACTAGTAGTGCCAGAAAGAATGAAACAACTGGGTGAAAGCTGAAAGGACACTCAGTTGCAGATGTATCTGGTGGTGAAAGGAGAGTCCGATGCTGTAAAGATCTATACTCCATAGGAAACTGGGATGTAAGACCGAGGAATCAAGGCAAGCAGGATGTGGTCAAACAAGAGATGACAAGACTGAACATCGACATCTTAGGAATCAGTGAACTAAAATGGACAGGAAAGGGGGAATTTGATTAGGAATACCATCAGGTATACTACTGTGGGCAAGAATCCCTCAGAAGAAATGGAGTAGCCTTCATAGTCAATAATAGAGTAGGAAAAGCAGTACTGGGATACAATCTCCAAAATGACAGAATGATCTCAGCTCAAATCCAAGGCAAACCATTCAACATCACAGTAGTCCAAGTCTATGCCTCAACCACTGGTGCTGAAGAGGCTGAAGTTGACCAGTTCTATGAAGACCTACAACACCTTCTAGAATTAACTCCAAAAACTGATTTCCTTATCATCATAGGGGATTGGAATGCTAAAGTAGGAAGCCAAAAGATAACCAGAATAAAAGGCAAGTTTGGTCTTGGAGTACAAAATGAAGCAGGGCACAGGCTGGTAGAATTTTGTCAGGGGAATATGATGGTCATAGCAAACACTCTTTTCCAACAACCCAAGAGACAACTCTACACATGGACATCACCAGACAGTCAACACAGAAATCAGAATGACTCTGATGCTCTGCAGTAAAGGTGGAGAAGCTCTATACAGTCAGTAAAAACTAGACCAGGAGCTGACTGCGGCTCAGATCATGAGCTTCTGGTTGAAAAATTTAGGCTTAAGTTGAAGAAAGTAGGGAAAAGCACTAGGCCACTCAGGTATGACCTAAATCATATCCCTGATGAATATACAGTAGAGGTGACAAATAGATTTAAGGGATTAGATCTGATAGACTGAGTGCCTGAAGAACTATGTTCAGAGGTTTGCAACATTGTACAAGAGGCAGCAGCTAAAACAATCCCAAATATAAGAAATGCAAGAAAGCAAAATGGCTGTCTGAGGAAGCTTTGCAAATAGCTGAAGAAAGAAGGAAGCAAAAGGCAAGGGAGAAAGAGAAAATACAAACAATTGAATGCAGAATTCCAGAGAATAGCTAGAAGAGATAAGAATGCCTTCTTAAATGAACAGTGCAAAGAAATAGAAGAAAACAATAGAATAGGGAGGAGCAGAGATCTCTTCAAGAAAATTGGAGATATGAAGGCAACATTTCATGCAAAGATGGGCATGATAAAGGACCAAAATGGCAGGGACATAACAGAGGCAGAAGAGATTAAGAAGAGGTGGCAAGATTACACAGAGGAACTATACAAGAAAGAGCTTAACATCACTGATAACCATGATGGGGTGGTCACTGACCTCGAGCCAGACATCCTGGAATGTGAAGTCAAATGGGCCTTAGGAAGTCTGAGCAACAACAAAGCTAGTGGAGGCGACCGTATTCCAGATGAGCTATTCAAAATCCTAAAAGACAATGCAGTAAAAGTGCTACAATCAATATGCCAGCAAATTTGGAAAACTCAACAGTGGCCAGACGATTGGAGAAGGACAGTTTACATTCCAATCCCAAAGAAGGGCAATGCCAAAGAATGTTCAAACTACTGCACCATTGCACTCATTTCACATGCTAGCAAAGTGATGCTCAAAATCCTACAAGCTAGGCTCCAGCAGTATGTGGACCGAGAACTAGCAGAAGTACAGGCAGGATTTTGAAGAGGGAGAAGAACTAGAGATCAAATTGCCAACATACTCTGGATCATGGAGAAAGCTTGGGAGTTCCAGAAAAACATCTACTTCTGCTTCATTGACTATACTAAAACCTTTGATTGTGTGGATCACAACAAATTGTGGCAAGTTCTTAAAGAGATGGGAGTACCAGACCATCTTATTTGTCTCTTGAGAAACCTATATGTGGGTCTAGAAGCAAAGGTGAGAACTGGACACGGAACCACTGATTGGTTCAAAATTGAGAAAGGAGACTGGCAAGGCTGTATACTGTCACCCTGCCTATTTAATTTATATGCAGAGCACATCATGAGAAAGGCAGGGCTAGATGAATCACCAGTTGGAATTAAGATTGCTGGGAGAAATATCAACAACCTCAGATATGCAGATGATACCACTCTCATGGCAGAAAGTGAAGAGGAACTAAAGAGCTTCTTGATGCGGGTGAAGGAAGAGAGTGCAAAAGTTGGCTTGAAACTCAACATTAAGAAAACTAAGATTATGGCATCTGGTTCTCTCACTTCCTGGCAAATAGATGGGGAAGAAATGGAGGTAGTGGCAGATTTTATTTTCCTGGGCTCCAAGATCACCGCAGATGGGGACTGCAGCCAAGAAATTAAAAGACGCTTACTCCTGGGGAGGAAAGCTAAGGCAAATCTAGACAGCATACTAAAAAGCAGAGACATCACCCTGCCAACAAAAGTGCGTATAGTCAAGGCTATGATTTTCCCACTTGCAATGTATGGCTGTGAAAGCTGGACCATAAGGAAGGTTGAGCGCCAGAGGATTGAGGCCTTTGTATTGTGGTGCTGGAGGAGACTCCTGCGAGTCCCTTGGACCGCAATGCGATCAAACCAATCAGTCTTAGAGGAGATCAACCCTGACTGCTCTTTAGAAGGCCAGATACTGAAGCTGAACCTACTTTGGCCACCTAATGAGAAATAAGGTCTCCTTGGGGAAGAGTCTAATGCTGGGAATAATTGACGTCAAAAGAAGGGAACGGCAGAGAATGAGGTGGCTAGATGGAGTCAGTGAAGCAGTTGGTGTGAGCTTGAGTCGACTCTGGGAGATGGTGGAGGACGGGAAGGCCTGGAGGAATGTTGTCCATGGAGTCACGATGGGTCGGACAGGACTTTGCAACTAACAACAACAATTTTATTTATAGCCCTCCTTTTTCCTTTTCAAGAAACTTAAGCCAGCCTACCTAATTCTCCTCCTCCTGACACATCATAAAGAATAAAACTTTTGGAATCCTATTCAGAACTATATCATTTTGCTATGAAATATCAGGATACTGATTGCCTCCACCCCTAGACTAATTTTAGAATGGGACTCCAACTTCCTTGCTTTTAGTGCGTCTTCTTTTACATTTTATGTATCTCTTATATTTTCCAAAAGAGGAATGCTTCCTTCCTCACTAATTCTTTTTCAGGAGTCACTATGAGTTTTCCTGTAGGTATCTACCCACACAAATGCATAGCAGATTTTCAGCCTTGGCATAGCTGACCTAGGCAATATTCAAGCCACTATCCATCTTCATGATTCCACCTGCTATCCCATTCCCACCAATACAACAGAAGCAGAATGAAGCAGGAAAATCAAGCAATTGTGTTTGCTTCAGCACTTCTACAACTGAAGAATCATGAATCCCAAAAGTGTTTATTTCCCCTATAATTCTCCCACTTGCTATAATTGATTACAAGCTTAAATACCCTACAAAAGCTATACAAGGAAACTAAAACCCAAGTAAGCCTGAAGTGTTTGTCAGCCTCTTCATGGACCATTGACAGCTAAGAAACTGAGATGAGAGAGAAAGCATTCCTATTTTGATCACTTTTCCTCTTTTGTTTAAAATCATCTCAACTGGCATTCAAGGGATGCTCTGGGGACTCTGTTGAAGTTAAGGAAGCTGAGAAGGCATGTCTTTTCCCGAATGTCCATTATGAGGGCCTGCTGTAACAGCTTGCTTAGGTCAGGATGATAGTGATACACGGAGGGACATGGAAGTATGGGCATGAGTCAGCCACAAATATACTGCTGTTCCCACTGGTTCTGCTGCCAGATGCAGTATGGAAATTGCATGCGATTAACTGCCCCAGAAATTAGTCTGTATATATTTCACATGAGTAGT